TCTTGGCAGCCTAGGTGAGAATCTATTTTTATGTAGATGTTTTATATAGACCTCGCCAATACTTTATTTTCCAAGAAGTATTCAGATAACTAAAAGCAAGTTCCTACAGCCTCATTAAATACTTCTTACTTTTTATAACATATGGGAAGATCTTTTATAGCTTTGAAAAACTGGGCCACAGTCTAAATTTTAGGCATCCTTTTCCTACTGATGGCAAATCAGTTCTTATGTTATAAAACTGGAGAGTTAGAATTAATGTGGTTTAATTATAATCTATGTATTTTCCAGGACCAGCAAAAATTTCCATGGAAGGCCACTTAATCCTTCACATTTTAGAAATTTTACAGCATAAATTTCTCTTTCCTTGCAAATGTACTTAAGCAATGACTAGGAGTTACTGATTTCAATTTGGCAGCTATGTATTGAACTCAAAAAAAGTTTAAGATGGGGGATCCATTAACGAACAAAACAAACTAGATTCAGAGATGTATGGAAGTAAAGTACAAGCTGGTCACTTAGAATGTTGAGTGATTTCTCAAGTGAGCTCAGAGGTGGTAGCAGGAATCCATCCTGACGTGTGGCATCTGGAAAGTTTCCACACAGGAAACAGGCGCTTGTGCCAAACACAGCCCAGTTCACACTATTATCCAGGTCTGAATTTTAATACTGCACTTGTACTCTCAAACTATATGATAAGTCTAGTACTGAAACAGATATACAATGCTGACAGTGAGATATAGGGAAAGAATTTCCAGTGGACTATAGAGCAAATACAAAAGGCATGGAAGACTAAAATCTCTGGGTATGTCTGGCGAATACTGTAACATTTCTATCGTGTATACAAAAGATGCTATTTTTTCCTTCTCTATTGCTGGCTGAATTGAAATTGGCACATGTTCTTCAAGAACTGTCATGAATGTTATTTGTATGCAATTTACTTTTCTTTGTAAGGTTGTGAGTCCTGGGCAGCACAGATGTTTTCTTATTTATCTCTCATTTTCCATTTTCATTTGATCAGATTGTTCTGTTTCTGGCAATGTACTATTTTCACATCTCGGGGAAATTATGAACTGATTCTTGCATTGCATTGTCTGCCTTCTAACTAGTTAACACTGAATTAGACATACAATGGGCTTGGACTTGGCTCCCGCCCCTTCCTAGAAACAAATGTTTGAGGAGAAAATAGCCAGAATTAGATAGATATTATTTTTGTCTTTGTAACTATCAAATGGAAAAGAATAGAGTATACTGAAATGAAGAAAATCTTAACTAACTTGCAGTTTCAGAACAAGAGATTAGCATTATTACTTTTTTGAATAATAAATTACATTTTCTGATAGGAGTATTTCCCCAAGGCATTTTTAAAAGAAAGACTATAAATGTGGAACAAAATCACAATGACTAACACTATGTGTATATGTGAAAAAATAATAGTCACCAATTAAGCAATTTCACCAATAACTAAAGGATTGTATTGCCCTTGTCACATGACAATGCACCATAAAGTTGACTTTCATGCCTATTCATCTCAAAATACTTTATGGTCAGCATGTTAGAGGAGTTCACCATGCTCCCGCCACAGATTTTATAAGGAATTCTATTCATAGGGTGCTCACAGTATGGAATGCAGAACAGTGTGAACAGATGGGAATGGGCAGTGGCTCTACCTCATTTAAGGAAAGAGGGTGCAGGGCTACAGTGGGAGATGTGGCTCCCTCCCTGTCCTCTTCCCATGTGTGCTTCTTTGTCTAGAGCTGACTCCACTCTATGAACTATCACTTCCAGGTAGGAAGGGAATTCCACAGTGCAATGAGCGCTTGAGTACTTCTTTCCATTTCAGTTCAGTTTCAAGGTTTCTTATGGTCTGCACATGGGATCCTACTCTACATATTTATGAGAGGATGGCATGAAGACTACATGAGGGCTTTTAAAGTTTTTGAAATGTAATTATTATGGTTTTTCTTCTCTTTATATGATTATAATGTAGTGAACTTATTTGAATATATGATTTTGATGAGATAAACATAATGCCTCTCCTCAGACCTGCATCTTCCCTACCATGCCACTCATGCTAGTGTTATGACTACTCCACCTTTCCTTAGCTTCTTTCACTTCTATCAGTTTCTTGGATACTCCTCAAATGAATCTAGTACAAGCCTTGATTATGCTCCTGCTCAAAGCATTTTGATAGCGCCCACTGGGATAAAGCTGCAGCTAACTGAAGCATTCATACAAAGCCATGCCCAGTTAACTTGGCCTCACATTCTCCCTTCCATCGCTAGTGTCTTCATGGAATTTAATCCCTGTTAAACCTGAGCTCTCTAGTAAACCTTTGTGGACTCCTTGGGCTCAGTTACATTTATCTGTGTATTATTATTCCAGCAACTGACCACTCTTCTAGGCCTAAATGTTCTTCAAGTCTTTTTATCTTTGTATCATCACTGTTTAGCAGATCACCTGGTATGTATATTGAGGAAAGAAACAAATTGAAAAGGTAGCTGAATAAATTTCCCTTTAGGCAGAACTTTCTTAAAAGCAATAGTCCTAGTAGGTTTTATTGGAGACAAATGATTATCTGTATGTATGGGATTGCATTTGGCTAAACTGATACATTTGAAGGTGGGTAATATGAAGATTATGTGCATAAGGATAACAAAGCTAAAGATTTATGTGAAAATTCCTAAGGTGGGCTGAATAAAATAAGTCGATTTCTGATAGATGAAAAACACACATGGCTGCAAATCACTTTCATATAAATGTGTTTTATTGCAGAGAAGTTATAATTATTTACATGCTGCCACACATCACAACAGAAATTTACCCAATATTTCATGGTGGGATGCTGTAGGTTTCAGATAATAGTTTCAGAAGAACCACAAATTAAGTGAAGAGACTTACAACTTTGTTGACTCTACAACTCTCGGTTGCTAAATGCTAGAAGTCAAAAGGCAGTGTTATTCAGTCCTACCTGTCATCACTTGCATGCAGAAACCTAGGAAGCAAATACAAGAGAACTGTCAAGTTTCATCCATATTGCCACCGAAGTTTACAATGGGTTGAGTTATGATTCATATCATAAAGCATTTAATTCTTGCATAAAATATACAGTTCTATTAAGATTTATATAAACCTACCTATTATAAACCCTGGCTCAAAAACAAGAGGATGCAGCCTGCACATGCACTGAGAAGGACAACCTAGCAAATGTTTGTGAGACCTTAATAGTGTTGTTACTTTCTTGTTGTCGGTGTGGGATAATAACTTCCAGGGCTGTACACTCTGACTTCTCTTGGTGCTAAGCAATGGCAATGAAACTCTAGGAAAGACCCTAGTCGTTCTCACTGATGATGCTGGTGGAGAATAATCTATGGATTGTCAAATGTCACTAAAGTATAATTTGGCAATTCTTCTATAAATCACATCCCTACCAGGATCATCTTGAAGTGCATTAAATTTCATTGATGCTTGACTGCTTAATTCTGAAAAGTGAATCAAGTGCTAACAGATCTCAGACATGACACAAGTGTGTGTGGGTCTAGGAACTCTAAACTGAATTCGTAGATATACCTAAAATAGTATTCTAAGGTCACCAAGCGGATAGGCCTCAATTGAAAAGGAAGGGATGCAGAAATAAATGAAGGCAATACTTGTAAATAGAATTTGTATAGCTTTTCAAACCTACCCCACCAACCTGAGTAGTGCACAGGGCAAGCAAATAGGTGAGGAGGATTTATGCACAGCTTTGCAAAGTGGCAAAGTGTTCTCTTACTCCTGAAGAGAAATCACTGAGAAAACTATTAGATGATGGACTCTTAGAATTTTTGTTTTTACCTTTGGAAATAGTATTCTCTAAGAACAGCCTTGTATCCACATTCTGACTCCTTTTTTCCATCTTTTAACGTCCTAGCATGTTCTCCTTGCTGCTTACAAAACAAACAAAACCCAGCCTCCCAGATCTTTAGGATGGAAATGTCCTGGAAAAATAGGCAGTTGATATTGCATTGTAGAAGGTGAAAGAAAGGAAGCCTGGGCTCTATGTTTTTAAACATTTTTAAGTTCATGTTTAAATAAAATGAGACTGAGTTTAAGAATCTCATTGCATGATCACATCAGTAGGGCTAGGTCAGCAGCTCGGGATTTCCATGCCAAGAGATCGGCGTGGAATGCAGTAAATTTTATAAGGGCTATTTTGCTCTGCAAATAAATTTTATTTTGAGCAAGTTGACTTGAGATAACATCTTTCAAGACTTGTAAGTTTTCCAGTGCTTGGGAGAATGAAGAATCCATGCCACCGTAAAGGCTTTCAATAAATTGGGTTATAAAACCTCTTTGGGATATGAGCCCAGCAAATTCTACCTCTAGTTGAAGTGATGAATAAAAGTTTATGAGAATAAATAGTTTAAGGTAATTTAAAATATCATATTTTCAGTATGTATAATAAAAATATATCCATACAATGATCTTGATGCTATCATTATTTTTTCTCTTTTAAAAAAATAATCCCTTGAAAGTGCTATTAGGAGCTACCTTTCTGTCTTCATTTTGAAAGGCAAATTTCCTGGATCTGTAGAAGTGCTATAATTCTCATGTCATTCCTAGAGTCTTCCCTTTCCAATGGTAATAATAATGTACAGTATATTTTTCTCACTCTTAGCTTCTTCCATAGGAAATGCTGCTAAGTATGAAATACTGAAAGAGTTAAAAGGGATGATTGGAATGATCTATCTTTTACTTTGAGCAAACAATGGATAAGTTGTCCTTAACTTATTGAGACACATGACTAACTAGGACCACTTAATCTCCAATAGTAATAAAGCCTCTGCGTCCTAACAAGAAGTGCAAAACAAGAAACTCAACTCGTATAAAAACCCTGATTAAGATGGTATAACAAACTATGATGTGGAATAATGAGTCAAATTCAAATTCACAATATATAAACCACAGCTGAAACTAAAAGTTCTTTTTAATCATAACAGTGATGGCTTCCTAAGCCAGAGAAAGCTTACTGTACTTCAAGAACCAACTAAGGTTGATAGATAGCAGGTTTTCTGTAAGTTGTTAAAACAATTGAGTAGCTACAGATTGCATAAATGAGTTGTGTCACATAATATCAAAGTTATTTGCAAAAATTATACAACCTGGAATGCTTGGATATGAGGCACAACAATATACTGAAACATAAGAAATGAGGGCAACCATTAATATAAAAGATACTTTTGGGGATGCATTAAGTTAGCAGTGCTATCAAGGTTAAATAGGTAAAGTAAGTTCTTTTCAGTCAGCGACTCAGAACTTCAGTCATCTAGACTTCTCCCTTTTTTCTTCTTTGTAAAACATCATGTCTTCAGTGTCTCCTAGCTTGTGTTTCTTTGGATCTTCAAAGTCCCATGGATAAAAACTGATCAGAGGCAAGCATGGAGGGTAAATTCCCCATTGAGGGTAATTCCCTTGCAGGACAGGAATCTTCCTAGTGCTGCCAGGGTATAACTTCCTTGGCTGAAGGATGACTTCTGCACTGTGACAGCATTCACGTGCCTTCTGGCCCTCCTCAGCCAATGACTTCGACCGCTCTTCGCTGTCATTCTTCCCTTGAATGATGAAATACCTTGGGGAGTTTTTTACTTTTAGATTGCCTGTTGTATTTTGAATTTGGGATTTCCTTCTTTTTTTCTTCCTTGGGATACAATTCTTTAAAAGTGTCCCAGGCCTCTTATTTCCGAGGCCCTGCTATCTTACTTGCATTTAAAGCAGAAGAAGCAGGTAAAGCTACACTTCTCTCAGCATTTGGTTGTGCTGGGGTCTCAAACTCCCAAGGACATACCTCAGCACGTGATATTAAAGGTTGCTGGAAATTATTACTAGAGTTGTAGGATCCAGGAACATTTTCCACAGAGGGTAATGTCTTTGTTTCCTGGTCTCCTATTTGGTTGAGATTTTCAGGCTCTACTTTTGATGCTACGATTTTAGGGGGTAGTTCTTCATATTGCCCAGTACTCACATTCGCTGTATAATGTGGACCTCCGTTCTCATCTTTGGCTCTCCCTGGGAGGACTGGAGTCGTGGAAACCAAGTGCTTCTCATCTTCAAATAGGGACTGACCTTGGTTCTCCCACGGACAGACTTCAGCCTTATTTATGCCCTTCGGATTGGACTGCTGACATCCTTCAGCTGCCTTAGGCTTGTGGTGAGATTTCTCCTTTAAGGAAAAAGTTGGGTTTTTCTCCATTTCAGAAGCTGCAATGGACACATGCTTTTGAGATTTTGATTCTGAAGGCACAGGACCAGGTGTCAGGTCATACACCTCCCAAGGGCACACTTCCCCAATGTCAAATTTGTCCTTCCTCTGTGTGGTACCTGGGCTCAGGTCAGAGTTGGCAGTGGCAGGATTGACCCTTTGTTGTTTCATAATCCCAGACTTCTGAGGCTTCCTTGGCTCCTCCATATGATTGGAGTTTTGTGGTGTAGAATCTTTTGTCTCTGTGTTGTCTGAATTTGAGTTCTTTCTGTTAGGTTCTTTATCTTTTGGCAGAGCCTTCTGGGATTTAGCACGGTCCTCTGCACCAGACGCTTGGGTTTTCCCAGCTAATCCAAGAGTCTTCTCCTTAGCACTTGCTATGACACTGAGAGACTTTTGTAGCATAGATGTTCGTGGGTGCCCAGGTTTCTTGTCAGAGCTCAGATTGTGAGCGCTTGCTGACTTACACACCAAAGGCACGGACTCTGTGGACTCAGCCTCACTGTCCTCTTTAAGCTTTTGCATCAGTTTTTTACTTGAAAGGGATTCTAGTGTGGAATTTTCAGTAGCTTCCTCCTCTTGGCTTTCTGTTGGCAGGCTACTGGACTCTTCGGTCTGATCTCTCACATGGTCATAAGTGCTATGAGATTTCTTGAGTGAAAAGACTCGATTTTTCAGGGACTCTTCCTTGGGCTTCCCAGTGTTTCCTGAAGACTCTGGGGGGTTCTTCCTGATGAGGGCTGTGCCTTTGGTTGTGCTATGGTCTGCAAGGTCCTTGTCCTCTTTGGAGCACTGCCTGCTCACAGTCTCTGGGATCTCAGTGATACGTCTCATGATAGAACGACCTAAGCCCTTCTTCGAGCACCGCTTTTTCTGGAGGTGGGGATTGTTTGTGATCATCTTCTTCCTTTTATATATTTCTAATTGGGCATAAAGTTTCTTCAGCTCATCCTGCCAAGACAAAAATAATTCAAAGAGGTTAATAACTGTATGTTTCAGCCCAATAATATTACTGAATACCATTTGAATTCAATAAGCACAAGTTCTTCACAAATGGTTTAGAGCTTTCTTAACATGTGCTTGCACCAATGTTCTCCTTGTGCTTATTTTCTAGATATTCTGTGTTTGAACTTCAAGACATGAGCTCATGTATCACACCTTTGCTTCATGGAGCTAGAACTCAACTTTCAAGTTCTCAGGACCAGAGTGAGACAAAACCATAAAATATACAGAGAATACTGACTGTTGGTGAAGCCTAGCCATGCAGTGTCAGAAGTGTCACGTAATCATTGATAATGTTATACCTGATGTTGGGTTAGGTTTAAAGGACTAGTTCATAGACTACTAAAAAGCATCTTTTTTCTTTATATGCTTGTATGTTGATGCAGATTATTCTAGATGATTTTACTTCTTTGTTCACAAGTATATCTTACTTTTCATTAACAAAATGCCATAAAGTTGTATTATGGACCTTGTGAAAGCAGTTCATCATTCTAACTGCTAATACATCAATCAAAGTTATCAGTTTGTGCCAGGTTATTATAAGAGCTGAAATAGCTTCTGCACTTTAATTTGTATCATCATTATATGTTTCAGCACTGGATTAACTCAGTGTTGATAGCTTCAGTTCACACACAAATATGCATTGTCTTTCTAAATGCATATTCATAAAACATGAGTTCTTTTACAAACTTGCACACACACACACACACACACACACACACACACACCCCTTTATCGATTCTTGCATAGGCCTAATATGAACTAGAAAAACATATACACAGGCATTACCCGAATGTCTTCTGGATCCAAACTGTGCTCACTCCAGGCTGAATTGATACTGCTGTTCAGGTAGGATCCAGACCGGCCCATATCCAGCTCATCCTCATAAGCCTCTGTGGCAATATCATCTCGTGGGTTATTGCTTGAATGTGAAAACTGCAAGAGATATTTAACATGATCCATAGATATTCACCCACTGTAAGACACAGCATAATAATTTTCTAAGGATTCTCATATTACCATCATTTCACCAGATACCTTCCAATGATCTGTGCTGTCTTTGTGTTTTGCTTCCTGGGATATATACAAGAGATCCTAGTGAGGCAATATTCAGACTGTTCCCCTCTTTGACTCCACATTTCACTCTTGTTTCTTTTCCAAGACTCCAGTGCTAATTTCCACTACAGGATACTCTTCTTTCATAATGTATTTGTGTGTGTGTGTTTTGTTTTTTATTTATTTATTTTTTGTTTGTTTGTGTTTTGGGGCCTTTGAGGCAGGGTATTGTTATGCAGCTCAAGCTGACCTTAAGTTCAATTTGTAGCCCAAACTGTTCTCATCACAATGTCTTCCTGCCTCTGCCTCTCAAGTGCTGGGATTACAGGTGTGGGCCACCACACCTGTTTTGTGTTTGTGTTTTGAAAATAAAAACACACAGAAAAATCCCAAGCAATGCTCCCTAAGAGTAACGCTTTATGCCCCCAAGCTTCTGAGGGAGTTTTTCTTTTCCTTAGACATGGTGCCTGTCCTGTGTCTGGAGTCTTTCAATTCACACTGGTGAAGATGTAATTCATCTTTGGGCACAAGTAATCCGACTGACAAGAATATGATGTTCAGGCCACTACATATAGCCCTAAAATTTTTAGTTTTGGCGTTCAGTGAACAGAATATCTGACTACAGTCTCTGTCTGAAGTCTGTCATCAGTGAGATTTTGAATAAGACCTGGGACCACTCTGGAGCACAGAGGCCTTTTCTGCACATGAGCTGGATGGTATCTATGGAAAGATGGAAAAAATCTCTGTAATAACAGAGTTTTCCTTGAGATCTTCATTCTGTTCATATTCTGCCCCCTTTAACATATTTTCATATAGTCTCTCATATATGTGCTGTAGAAGCAAGCACTCTTGTGGTCTTTTGAATCATGTTTGTTTTGTGTGGTCCTCTCTATTATTTTTCAAGTGGAGAGGTCAGGAAATGAATTGATAAATGATGGAAAACAAGGAGAATCAAAACAATCTAGTCACATTTTTTAAAATGTATTTGGTTCAGGGTCTCACCATGCAGTTCAGACTCACAGTGATCCTCTTGTTTTCAGCCTCCCAGCACTGGGATTACAGGGGTTCATCACCACGCCTGGTCTCTCAGCATGAGCTAGGGGCAGGGCTGGCATGACATGTGGTACCATAGGAGCTGAACCCCAGTCCCTGTGCTTGCCTAAGCAGGCACTTAGTCTGCTGAGTTATCTCACCAGCCAATTTAGTCACATTTTATACAATATGAAAACCAGGAAGTATGGGGGCTGGGGAGATAGCTCAGTAGAATAAGTGCTTGCCTAGCAAGCACAAAGGCCTGAGTTCAAACCCTGTATGCCAAAAAAAAAAAAAAAAAAAAAAAAAAAAAAAAAAATCGAAAACCAGCAAGTAGTCTATTAAAATTGAGGCAATAGCTTACAGCACATGGATTCTTTTCTCCCAGCTTGGCATTAGCTCAATTTTTTAAAAAAAATTAATAGAACAATTCTTTGATGATAAAGGATTTTTTAATGTCAGCTTCTATCATAGAATTGAGCTTGCCAGGTGAATATGTATATGAAACAGAAATTTTCTATATAAGTAATAGTGTAAGTTTTGTAATTAAAACTGACTCAAAACCCACAAAATTAATAAATCTTTTTTCTATCTCTACCATCTACTTTAGTGAGAGCTACTGGTTCCATGAACATCAATGATATCTGGAGGTTACTTTTAGTAATGGAATTTGTTTTCTTGAGAAAAATGTTAGAGACATCCATGAGCTGAAGAAAAAGTCTAGGGCTCAAGATATAGCTAGTGATAGAATATATGCTTAAGAGAACCATGAAACAAATCAAACAATAAAAAAGTTATTTACCAGATGTTTACTTCCCACTGTTTTATTTTTCTTTAAGCCTCTCTCTAAAATATTTTAAACATTTATCTTACTTATTTGTTTTCCTATCCTATCTTCTGAACATAAGTACCACAAAACCACAAATTTTTGTCTGCTCATAATATTCTGAAGATGTACAATAATGTCTAGCAAAGTCCTTCAATTATATTTCAATTGACATTTAAAGAGATATAATTCAGGTACCAGTTGGTGTTTCTTAGTATATTCACAAGTATATGTTCATCCATGACCACTACTTTACTACCTGAAATGGAAACCTTGAATTCATTAACTACCATTTTCTTCTTCCCTGCCATGGAAACCACTAATCTACTTTCTGTCTCCACAGAGTTGCCTTTAGAGAGCATTTCACAGAACTGGAATTATATATTATGTGGCCTTTATTTCTGGCCTTTTTACTTGAGATAATGTTTTTAAAGTTTGTCCAATTATAGTATTTATCAGTATTTCATTCATCTTTATTGGAAAATAATATCCCATTTTATGTCTACATCATATTTAATTATGAATTTGTAAGTTAATGATCACTGGGTTGTTTTTACTTTTGCTTATCGTGAATAATGTTTCTATGTGCATTTGTGTACAAGGTTTTTATATGAGAATATGTTTTAAATTATCTTTGGAACTCAATAAAATTTATTGAAGATTTTGAGTTTCCATACATCTAATAAATCAATTACACAAAGTATTTAAATATTTATGATAAATTGTAGTAACATATTGAGCTATGAAAATTCTGGTTAGTTAATGTAATTCAATTAAGGAATAAAATAGGCATTTTTTTGTTTATAAATTTTGTCCTTTTCAATCAGGCTGAACTTCAACATTTTGGTTACCTGTGAGAGTTGAGGTAAAGCTTGGCGTGAAAGTAAAGGTATCACACCTCTTGGTTCAACAATGTTAATATTCCACTGTGTGGCACTGATAAGACCCATGATGTCTATTCTTATGTTCTCTATATAACAGAGACTGATAATGATGCAAGTCACGTAATATGTCTCTTCCCCATGCCCCAATACTATTTATTTGTATTCCAAGCAACTTTACTGCTATTATGCCACTGAGGGGAAAACAAACTTTAAGAGATCAAGTTTTGCCTATTATAGTACATAGCTAGTTTATGGCAATGGGTGAGTTTAGCGTCCATGTTTTTGGAATACTGGCCCATTTTCTCTAGTTCATTAAGCTGTCTAGATATGTCTTCATCAGAAACTATCAGTACTAATATTCTTCTATACCTAATATTGTGATTATTTCTATTCATATAAATCCATGTGAATGCTTTAAACACAAGACTTCTTGGTTTATGTTAAACAAAAGGATTATTAGAAAATAATTTTTTAAAATGACCTTGATTTTATAACTATAATCAAAGCCATTTTGAAGCCATAACTGAAACCTATAGACATCAAAATATGTGGAAAAGGACTAAAACAGATGACTGTTTTTATTATAAATTAAGGCACTTGATATTATTTAAGATAAAAATAATGAGTAAATCCCCACTCCAAATGACAAAGACAGTTTCCTTAGGTAGGAGTTTTGAAATGTTTTTATAATGTCAAGCAAACTTCTACATTTTCTGTGACTATATTGCCAGATTTTTAAAGGACAAACAATTTTATGTTCTTTTAAAATAATTGTCTTGCCATAAAAATAGAAAATTGGAAGAATACCTTTGGAATCAGAAGCAACCCAATGGTGACTGTCACAGTCAAATGAGTATGTGCAAAATACAGCATCAGCATCCAGTCAGACTGAAGTCTTGCAGCAAGAACAAATCTGAAAGGAGAATAACCCAAGTCAGCAATCCAAGATCAAGTACGTTTATAGAAAATGCCAGAATATTTCTTTGCCTCAGTGAATTTTACAGGAGAAACAATCTTGCTGTTTGTACAGCATCTTTTCATCATGCAAGAATAATGGTTTACATAACTTTCCTTCCACTCCTAAGAAATGAATGCTGTTACAAGATTATCAGTAGTAAAAAAGATAGCATGTACCCAGAAAGTGCTAAAGATTTCTCAGAATTACTGACACGTATATAAATTGACTCTGGAAAGCAGAGTGAATCCACATGAAATAAAATGAAGAGGATATGATACAGATAGTGGTTTGAGGGCAAATTTGGATTACATGTCTCATCTAAGTAAATCTTGATTCTAATATTCTTTATTTAAAAGCATTAATTGGAATTAAAAAAAGAATGGCGATCTCAAATATTTAATGTTAAATAATATAATGGATAAAATGGTAAGTGGCATGTTAGGAAATACAAATTTTGGTGGTTTTAAATTGTGAAAATTAGCTTAAATAATTTAAAATTTAATATGTAAAATTTTATCTCATTGAGGAATTTATACAGCCATGTTCCAAGTTGGTAAGAAAGAATTCAGCACCAATGTAATTGCTCATAATTTTGCCCTAATTTTTGGTAAATCAGTGGGCATATGTACAAACCAAAGAGCATGCTTGAAAATCTTAACCTTATGTTGAAATGAAGAATAGCTCTTAAAAAGATCTTTTTAGCGACTGTATCCTTTTTAATTTTTTTTCCAATCTAGCATTTATTCATGAAAACTAAAAATGAAATTTTATTGCATTTGGAATTAAAGGATTAGAAGTTTAGCTGAATTAGAAGTTTAGCTGGATGGATTTAAAAAGTTAAAGCTTAAGAAAATGTCCATGACATCAACATCATAAAACCATTGTAGATGAATGGCTAAAACAGAAGCAAACTGATTTTACATCTGTATTATATTATACTTATGATGATTTTGTTAAATAAATTAATTAATGGTATTAATTTTAAAACAAAACTATCAGCAAAGACATGTGTTCCTAATTTTCACCTCTCTTGTCCTTTGAACATTAAGCTAAAAAGGAAGCTCAAATGTTACCCAAAATAGTCATTTTTCCATGTTACTGGAAATGCAAACAAAATAGACTTGTAACACACAGAAATTCCAGATGTTTATATCTCACACATATCATTATAAAGACTCTTCTGAGTTAAGTGTGTGGCATATGCCTATAATTTCAGTTACTTGGGGGGCTGATACAGGAGGATTGCAAATTAGAGCCCAATTTGGGCCATTTAGTGGGATCCTGTCTTAGAAAATGGCTGGATGTAGTTCATTGTGAAGGCCTTGGATTTAGTTACAATAACACACACACACACACACACACACACACACACACAGAGGCACGCGCGTGCACACACATGCATGTGTGCAGCTTTTGTGGATTATTATCCTCTTTAACTTCTTTGTAAGGTTCATAGTCTCACATAGGCCTGTATGTCTGGAATACAAACTAACATTCACTTCATTCTGAGCTTTGGTACTGTTGATATGGTCTGTTTTCCTGGATCATATGAGTTTTTTTTTTTAAAGCATTATAATGGGATCATTTTACTCAGTAACAGTTAAAACCTTTGAGGCATATAAGCATAAAGATATTCCTCTTTTAAAGACTGAGTTCTAGTTCTTGCCACTGAGTTTTTAAATGAATTGATCACTACATAAGAAGTTGTATATGATATGCACTTTACAATATTCAGAACAAAGAAATGGTCAAAAGAAATTCAAACTTGATGACTTTGCTTTAATTTGCATAACTCTTACAGGCAGTTTTGTGATGTATGACAGAATATAAAAATACAGTACAGTAAATCAGCAAAGTCTATATTATTACACTACTATATAAACAAGGTGTACTGTACTGAATAAGATATCGAGGCTCTATAAACAAGATGCACAAAATATACAAAAAAAATGGTTTTAAGTCTGATTGGTAGGTTGTTAAGACCAAAAAATCCTTAGAGAGTTAGGTCATTTTTAAGAATACCTGTATGTATACTATACCCTGGAAAAAGTATACAACTAATAGGTTAAGGATCACTGCAAGAATTGGAGAAGACAGCTATATCAAGAGATGAATTTATAGCCTGTAAGCATTTTCATGTACTTGGAATGCCTACCAAAAAATGCCAATACATGTGAATGTAAAGCTAGTAAGGCATATCTAGAAGGAAGAATGGTTGTATATTGTTGGGAGCCATGGAAGCTAAAAAATTGGTCAAGTGTGTGTAAGCAGGACTAGGCATCATTGCCTAAAGCAGACAAGCTGCCTCAGTCCTGAAGTAAGCATCTTGACTGGTTAATGTCAGCTATTAGTCACTAAGCAACTTTGTGTCACATTTGCCAAGGTATAAATAACTTTGTCAAGGTGTAAATAAATGTCCATATTGTTACTGGCAGGGTAGGGATCATTTCACCAATGAGGCAGATGAGCAACCACCTAACCCAGGTCTTGTTTTCTTGTCTATCTTTTCCTCATTCCAGTCACTGTTTCTCCTTGAGTAGAATGGATCACACTGAGAGACCAGCGGATCCCTACATCTGGCACCCAATCAGGACACCCAGTACAAGATAAGTGTGGGCAGCAGGAACACAACAAAGAGCACACACAAGGGAGGGAAGTGGACTGGTTAGAGCCAGCAATAGTATTCTGTACAGGCATGCATTGGTACTGGTACACTAGCATAAAACTTGGGGAAACAGGCTCATTAAGGCCAGAGGGAAGAACCATCTTAAAGGGAGAAATAGGCTTGAGAGAAGCTCAAAAGGAAAAAGTTATATTGAGTTTAAAAATGTGACAAATAGAATCTTAAGAATCACAGAGTTTGGGGCTGGGAAGATAGCTTGGTAGAATAAGCGCTTCCCTGGCAAGGGCAAGTGCCTGAGTTCAATCCCCAGTTCCACCAAAAAAAAATAAAATAAAGTAAAATAAATAAAATTAAAAAAAAAAAGAATCACAGAGTTATACATATGTTGAACTGATTGGAACAAGCTTGATCTCTGTATTTACTTTTGTTTTGTGGGTTGTGGTTAAGTGTTTTCAAACACAAAGGATTTAGCTCACAGCTCTCCTGTCAAATCAAGTCCTGAGCCCAAGTGGGACAAGGAAGAGGGAGAAATGGAGCCCAAAAGATAGAACTTGAACCTTCTAACCTTGATCCATCAAATATGGAAGAGGAGAGGGTGTAAAAAAGGGATGCTTCCCCACCAATGAAGTCTTTCCTCCAAAAACCTCATTTCTCAACACTCAATGGTTTTCAAGGAGCCACAGGCTAGAATCCTGGGCATAGCAGCTCAGAGAAACTTTGCTGAGTCACAGATTGGAACTTTTGACCCAAGGGAAGTAGATCCATTTTTTTTTTAAATCTCCCTTACAATTGGCACTAAAGGAAGCCAGACAGGCAAGGGAGTTCATGAAGGGTTTTCAACATATCTACCCTGTTTCTCAATTTCAAGTCCCTAATAATCTGGGACAAATTATATGTCTTCATGAAGCTGTACATTTTATAACCTTAAAAGAATTAAAGCAAGTTGTTGTTACTTATGGCCCTACTGCCCCCTTTACTTTGACTTTAGTAGAAATGCTAAGGTAACAGATTATGGCCCCAATGATTGGAAAGGAATAGCTAAAGCATGTTGGAATCCAGGACATTATTTATTGTGCAAAGGAGATTTCATTGCCTGGGCCAGGCATCTAGAAATGCACCAGGCAGCTCAAAATGGGTTCACAACTTAGCCATTATAAAAGGCATGCTAATTTGGGGGTGTGCCTTTGCTAGTACAATCAACTGACCATTGCACTGCCAATATATGAGCAAACTAAGATAGCTGCCATTAGGGTCTGGAGGGAACTTCCTTCAAAGGGTGAAGAATCCCTTAATTTGGCTTCCATTCAGCAGGGCCCTGATAAATCTTTCCAAGATTTTGCTCTGCATTTACTGCAAGCTAGTGAGAGGATTAGAAGTGAAAAATAAGAGAGCACATTAATAGTTCAACAATTTGAAAATGCAAATAAATTGTGTAGAGAGGCTTTAAGAGCCTACAAAAGTGGGTTATACTGCTTGCGATGACTCGGATTTGTGCTGATATTGGCCCCACATATGCCTTTTAAGTAGCTGTTACTCAGGTTATTAACCCACAGGAAAGGGAAAAAATAAGGCTGTTTGTTTCCATTGTGGGAATAAGGGACATTTAGTCCAAAACTGTTATGGTGCATCAAAGACAACATAGCCATTATGTCTCTTCGATAAAACCTTCCAGTCCATGTACAAGTTGTAAAGGAGGGTGCCATTAGACAAGTGAATGTAGATTTAAAACTGATGTGGTAGACCTATCTATTCAGGGAAACTTCCCATGGAGCCTGCCTTTGGGGTGCTTTCTCTTCCCCTGCCACAAGTGTCTCTGACCTTTGACAAGCAACAACCAAAAGTAGAGGCTTGGACCTTGATTCCTCCTCCAGATTCCCATTGACTTCTGAAGTTGGGCCCCAAATTATTCCTATTGGAGTCTATAGACCTGTGCCTCAAGGTACAGTGGGAATCTTGCTGGATTGCACAGCAATCTCATTTTAAAAGGTCTCTGGATTTCTTTTGGTGTCATCCATACTGATTATACAGGGAAATCAAAGTTATAATTCTACGTAACCAAACCATTGTTTAAACCACACCAGACTCTTATACTGCTTGATTGATCAGTCTTTCTTTGATAAAAATTTTAAAATTATTAAAAAGAAATATTGGCTTAAAAATAAAATAATTAATTAATTAATGGAAAACATTTTAAAGGGCTTTTCAAATGCAAGTGTGGATGGGCTCCATGTAAGGCAGCTACTAAGGTGCAAGGCCATTCCCTCAGGAAAAGAACTTATTCTCTCTGTGGAGAGCTGCGAAGGACCGCGCCTACAAGATGGCGCTGGTTTCT